GGAGAGACCCAGCCTGGGTACTGTCCTTCTCTCCCTTCTCCCCGCGGCTGATTGTTTCTCACCGTAGTTGCCCGGGCAAAGCGGCTGAGCTTGCAGTCTACTCGATGTGCGTGATTTGGATTTTACAGTTCTGAGATTGTCTCTGTTCCGTGGGCAGCTTGTTGCCTTTTGGGATATTGCCATTGCAAGTTTTGTGCTTGCCCTGTTGCTGAGTGTAACTATAGAAACGTAGAGCGGGGGAAGAGAGCGAGGCAGAGGGTTTATTTCATCCTTCTGTTTTACCTTTCTGTCTGGCAGCATACAGCGATAAGGCTGATCATAAACGATTGCCTCCTTTTTAAATTGACTTGTGTTTCTGCTTTCTCCCTCCCCCACAAACAATGCCAATAAGCACTGATTTTTTTTCTATGTACCTTTTAGTCTTCATGATTTTGTATCTAAGTGTCAAGATAGTCCTTGACACATAAATTTAGGCTAACAGTACTTTTGTGTCTACGGTTTGATTTAGCTAACTAATTGTCCAGCTGATTGTAACCATTTTTATTCTTGATGGCCCTTTCTGTTTCTTTCTTGAAAAAGCAAGATCAAGAAAACATTGATTTATTGGCAGACCTTGACAGAACACAGAATACATCTGTTTCATGATTTGTTAAAATGAACTTGCTTAGCACTGGAATAAGTTAATGAGAGAACATTCACTGTTACCACCTCTCAGTCAGTTAAATCTCTTGATGGAGTGGGTACTTGCTAAATTAGTACAAAAGTTCCCTGCTAAAATGCAGCAAAGGCACATCTCTGGGGAGAACTATTTTAATTTCATAGTTTCTTGTGACAGCATTGTCTGTCACAGTCAAGGCTTAGCAGTGTAGTCTGTCTTAAAGGCCAATTCTGAATGCTTCAGTTCATATGCTTGCTTAAATTATCTTGAAATTTTGTCATGTAGGAGAGTGTTTCAGGTAGAAACACATACTGCTCTTGCCTTTCCTCTTTTCTGCGGTATTTTATGAAATCACCTAGTTGTTATTTTTTTCCTTCATTCTGGGTTCTGACTGTTTGTCTTCATATTGACCTCAGTATCTCAGTTTATCCCAGTTAATGTGCTGAATACACTGCCATGCCCTTTTAGGTACAAGAGCACGGAGTATGTCTGTAACTTTACATTTTGGATTTCAGGAGTGGTACGTGCTGGGTCTTGTGAGTAAAGAAACTGAAATAAATGTCTAGCAAGTCAAGCATGTGAGGATTTTTAGGCAGCTTGTTGTGTTAGTTGCAGTGTACCTGAAGGAGGTGTGTGGTCACTGACTGATAATTTATTGGCAAAGCTGTTGTCTTCATTTAGGCAGTTGTTCTGTCACCTGATGACTCCTCCCCACCTGAGCAGGGGAATCAGGGAAAGGAAAGCAGACCAGCAGGTGGTAGATGTCAAGCACTGTGAGCACCACAGCTCCAGCGAGAGCACGATGGTCACAACGAATGGGGGAGTAGGCCTTGGGAGCAGAATGACAGGCGAGACCCACCAGTGATGGTGACCACTGAGGAAAGAGAGAAGGAGAAGGAGAAGAAGAAGAAGAAGAAGAAGAAGAAGAAGAAGAAGAAGAAGAAGAAGAAGGGCCGTTCTCAGCAAACTTTCCAATTTATAGTAAGGGTGTCATTTGTAGTATGGAATGCTTCTGTTGTCCAGCTTGGGTCAGCTGCTCTGGCTTTTTTGCTTCTCCTGTTTTCTGTATCTGGCTAACTTGAAACTGTTGAAGACCTTGATCACTATGGCAACTTGCATGCCTGCAAAAAATCAAAGTGTTTTATCGGTTTTATTCCTACCGACTTGAGTGCTGCAGTCTTCTCAAAAATGCAGCTTTCTTGAATAGCAAATTTATTTTATTATTCCATCTCAGCAAAACTAGGACAGCTGTATTCACAGGTCCACTCTTGGAGAGACAGAAGTTGTCTTGGTAATAGAGATCAAACCAGTTTGTTAAGAATAATCTATAACATCAAACGGATATGTGAAAAATGAACAACTGAGCACTTTTGTTAGTAATTTTATGTGGGGCTTTTAATAGCAAAATGCCAACATCTATTCATTAGACTTAATTAATGTGAAATTAATTTTTTTCTCGAATACGTTTAAAAATGTCCAGAAAACTCATTTATTCTATAGCATATCTTATTCATTTCTCTCCACAGAAATGTTCTTAGCTTATAAAAGCTGTATGTGGTTCAGGGCAAAGACATATAAAATGAAGGTAGGCCCAGAGCGGGGGAAGAAGTGTAAGTATCCTGGGTTGCTCAAAAGAGAGCAGAAGAAGAAGAAGTGATGATGAAGTAGGAGGAACTATAGGGCATGGGGAATTAGAAGGAGAAATGGGAAAATGCATGGCCAGGGTAAAAAGTGTGTTAGGAGTCTGGTAGCTTCACTGTTTGTTTGTTTATTGTTTTTTTTTCCTAATGTATGTCCTAGAATATTGGTAAACTCTAAACTGTGGATTATATGCTCTCTTTGTATAAAAACTGTTTTGTGGTAGGACTTTGCTGGCGGGTTGGTGAGATTCTCCCTATTGAGCTGTATTTATTTTCATGGCATTTTCCCATTCCTCTGGGATTTTTTCGTTGAGTTGAATAAGCCCTTCAGGCCTCTTAGATTTTGGGTGGGTTTTTTGTTTGTTTGTTTGTTTTTTAAATATTTTTCAAATGGGTGCCTTGATGGGGAAACGGAGAACTTATTTTACTCTTCTTTTTCCCCTGTTTCCCACTCATGTGGACACTCCTCATAGCCCAGAAGCGTACCCTCTTCTTCATGGCTCATCTCAAGGCTGAGGACCATGGGGAGCCGGAAACAGACCAGAATGTTGACCGGGGTAGGAGTAGGAAGTGGTCTTGCAAAAGTATTCTGTGGGAGAGAGTATGATTTGGAAGAATGGCTTTTACAAAGGCAGTGTTGAGTGGTGGTGGAGCCTTGGCAGAGGAGTCAGTGTTGTGGCGTAGCAGAGGGCCAGGATGCTGGGAGACGGTGGGTTATGAGCTGTGTTTGAGGGTGTTTGTAGGGTCTTTCAGCTCCATCCTCTCTCCCTCCCTTAAATTTCAGTTTCATTGCTTAATGTTGTATTTATACAACCTGCATTTTCTCTAGCATCCACCTGCCTCACTGTCTCTGACATACCTATTCTTAAATATTTCTGTGAAGTAAGGAAGATCTATTATCTGTGTTCTTACACTTGCGGAAGTGAGATGTGGTGTCTAAATACAGAAACCTAAGTACAAGCTACTGCAAGGTAAGATAAGGATGTGAACTTGCAGCATCTCGGCTGCTCTGCTGTAGCTTCCTATGTGCAGTGATCTTGTGGAAAGCAGCACACTCTGCAATTCAGTTGCTTCTTGTCTATCACTGGCAGTTGTGGTGACAGTAGTTAGAAGGCAGTGAATTCAGATCTTCATCTATTTTGCAAGGACTTGTTCATAAATCCATTTCTTAAATGAAGTACATCGTAGAAATTGGTTATGGAATAAGTGTAAATCGTCCACCCTCCTTTCTCCTCCATCAAAAAAAGTAACTGTTAACCTTCAGGGCAGTTCTTCTTCCAGCATCTCAGGTTGAATCACCTGATAATGCTGTGTGTTGCGTGAAGTTTTGTTTCGAAGTGTTTGGTGGTTGTTGTTTGTCGATTTGTGTGTTTGTCACTTTGTCACTTTGTTTGTTTGTTTTAAAGGCATATTCAGACTGTGCTGAACAGAGAGGAAAATAGAACAGAGTTCTTCAGTTGGAAGGGACCTACAGCAATCATTCAGTCCAACTGCCTGACCACTTCAAGGCAGATTCAGAATTAGCAGAAGGGGCCAGAGTGCAGGTACTCTCTTCTGTAGCAGTGGTAATCGTTAAAAGGACACGGTGGTAGAGAGTGCTAGGAAGAGGCATGCATTGAACAAGAGAAATGATACCTCAAACTCCACATCCAAAGCAAAACCAAATTGCCAGTTAGCCTTCCAGAATATGAGGTGTGATTAACCTTAACCCTCTTCTCCTGCCTAGGCTGTCCCCAGTCCCCAAAACTAACCAATCAACAAAAGAATAAATTTAGGACATATGAAAATGGTATATTCTTCTAGTGCTGTGGAACCATCTTGCTTGCTTGGTTATGATTCTATGACTCTGTCTTACTTCACTGTTTACTGGAAATCCTGTTGTCACTGCAAAGCTGCAGGAATTCCAGGTGGTGTGGAGAGAGGTGTCTCCTGTAGCTTTCCTGTAGGGAAGCAGGTGTGATCAGCAGGGATGATGTATGGCAGGGCAAACAAGTAATGCCATCATCATGTAGTACAACTAGCAGTTGAAGAGAGTGCATGAATTGCTGCGTGTCTGCTGATGGGAGCCTTTCCTCATCAGACCAGTCGCAGTGGGCAGAGCTGAGAGCATTTAAGAGGGAAGCAGCGAGAGGAAGAAGTTGAAGGTGAGTAAGATAATCTGAATGATGAGAAATAAAATAACAATATATTTAAGCACCTAGGGAAGAGAATATGAAGGAGGAGTGCTATTCTTTTGCAGTAAGGAGAAAAAGAGAGATGGAGGAGGTAAGCAGAGAAATGGTAAAGGAGCAGATGGTCCAAAAAAGGTAGTACAAACTAACAGAACTAATGTGAATATACTGACTGGAAAGTGTCTGAAGAAAGGATAAAGGACACATTTATGTGCAAACAATTGGTGAAAAATTATCTAATCCAGAAGTGATGAGCAAGAGAGACATCATCTCCTAGACCCAATGATGACTTTCTTCCTTTTCAGAATGGCAAATCATAATTTGTTAGCTAGGAACCAGTGATATATTTCAAATGTTGTCTAGAACTATGTAGGTCACCAAGGAAGGGATGTTAAAGTGCTACAGTCGTTCTTTGAAGCTGCTTCTGTTGCAGTCTTATGTATGTGAAGCAACGTGTTTGTGCTTCATGTGCTTGGTTATGTCAGCACTTCCCTTTGTGCCTCAGCTTTCTAGAGAAGCTCGGTTTCAATGTTAAGCATGTTCATGTTCTTAGCTTCTTTCTTGAGGGGAACCTTTTCCATCCTTGTTACTGGTCTTTAGCACTCAGAAAGGAAGTTTGTTTCCATTATCTATTTAATAATTGCATTTTCTGTCCAGCTAATGATTCTTCAAGAAATTGTATTGAGCTTTCAAAACCTCTTAAGCCATATATATTAATGGGTACAGCACTAACGTTAGCTAATCTGTCCTGGCTTTGATGGAGTGCAAGTGTGTTGGAGTTTTGCAAGGGGCTTTTGTGCCATCGTGGGAGTTGGAGTTAGTGAAAGACTCCTTTGTGAGCAGAGAAATACTGGTGGTGGTTAATCTGTATGTGAGCAGATGCTTTGGTGTAACCTTTGTCTTTTTGCCAACTGTAGCACATGTAGTTTTTGAGATACAGTGACCATGAGATCTTGATCAAAATCCTGTATTTTTCATCTCTTGGAAGAAATTGTGGGAGTAGCTGGATGAGTTCTATATGTTCTGACCTTAGCTGTGGAGATGCTTTGCACTTACAGACACGTTTGATTTTTCATGTGATTTAGTGGTTTTATTTCTTCTTCTTTTAGAGGAAATGAAGGATAATTTTAGCTTTGCTTGATACTGCAGCTTGGTAGCTGCAGAATTTGTTTGACAATAATATGTATATCTGCCCTTTGTGAAGACCTTCTTGCACTCAAACACATATGTACAAATATATATATAGTATGAATATGTATAATATATATATGTACAAATATATGTATGTATGAATATATTTATGTACTTTCACCAGTATGCTCTGTGAATGTTAGTTTGTGGCTTCCTGGCTTGAGATGGACTTATGCTCTGTTCTTGTGCTGCTGTTTACTGCTGCTGGTTAGAAACTATTTTCAGTAAAGTAGAGACCCTCTGATTTGTCCATTTGTAACCACAAGGGTTTTATCTGTATAAATTAGTTTCTGAAATGCTACGTAGATAAGTCCTTAATTTCATGGCAAGTGACTGCAATCTCACCGTTTTGAGGAGGTGGGTGTTTTTTCATTTAGTTTACTTTGTTGTTGTTGTTTTTTTAAATTATTCTGTGCTTCTTGAGCTTCTGCGCAAGTTACTACAATAGCAGCAGTGTTATGACTTCCTATTCTTGCTAAATCTACAACACCCTACTAAAGGATGCTTTCTCTGTGGTGCTATGGGAGAAATTAATTTGGCTGGAAAACCAAGTGTTGCTTTAACTACGGAAGAAAGCAACATTTGTATTTGCTAATGGTTATGAGAATAAATCTGCAGAAGTGCGGATGCCTGTAAGCCTGTATATGACTCGTGAATAATGGATTTGAAGATGCAAGTATAAAAGTATTAATTTTTGAGAGAGCTTGTACTGTTAAAAAGATTTATATTTTCAGTAGGCAAGTTAAATGGACTGCTAATAAATAAAAATACAAAAGGGTACGCATGACAAAGAACCATGAACTGAAACTATGACAGAAGATTGAACCAGGAAGGGGAGGGAGAGAGAAATACCATTCCATTATAATCCACCCTCTGAAAAGCTTGACTTGATGTGTGTGGGTGCTCATTAAGTAAGGTAGCTCTTTGTAGTGAGTCTTTGCTTCAGAGAGAAAATTTTTGCTTGTATTTGCATCTGATTAGACAGAAATATTTTTAGGTGAGATTTCTTGAATGCATTAAAGAAAAGAAAAGAAAACAAAAGAAAAGGCATACCTCTAGCATTAACTGGGATCTTAATACAGTAACAAGTATGCAGAGCAGTGAATAATTGACTTAATAACTTCTGATTGTTCTGTAGACTGTAAATAAAGTAAAGGTGCCTGCTGTCTTAATGCCTTATAGTACTAGACTTTGCAGGGGAAACTGGTAATTATTGTTAGTTTTCTCTGGAAGGTTTCCTTAGGTGCTTCTTTCAGCTTTGAAAAGCTTGTATGTGGGTGAAGAACATAAAAGCTGAAAATAAAAGCCTCTGTGTAGTTCTGTTTCTCCTGCAATTGCCTGAGTATCTGCAGTTCAAAATATTAACCTTTTATGACTACTTTGATCACTGCTACCTCTATAGACCTCAGCTGATTAAATCGAGATACATGGTAACTTATGCAAATATCGCTAGTGGTGTTTTCCCACAGTTGTCACAGCTCTTATTCAAAGAGATATGTTGCCACTTGAAATGCTCTCATACTGCAAATGAGTAAAATGTAAGTAAGCTTGAAAAATAACACAGCAGTGTGTTGTCTGTTGTCTGGAGTGCTGGCTTTTCATTCAAACAGAATGATCAAAGCCTCAATTTGAAGAAAAAATACGTAATTGTTTCGGGAAAGCTGTGTATGGAACACAGGAATTAACTACAAATTGAGTCTTGGGTGTTTATCTGAAATGTTTCTTCCTTGAATCTGTAGTTCAGACAGGGAAGAGAGGAGTGTCTGTAGCTGTGGTAGCAATCACTGCGGTTACTTAATTACTGGAGCTGAATGCTCCTTTATGCTACAAATGAGAATCTCCTTCTACTTCTAGAAGATGCTATACTACTACTTAGGAAAAAGTGAAAAATCAACGAGACTTGATCTGTTACCAACTACATCAGTGTGCTTGATCTGAATGTGAATACTTCAGAGTTCACACTGCTGTTACACATACTAAATTTGGGTGCTGGTAATTACAGTATATTTTTGTGTGCCCTTTATTATCTCTAATCTTTCTTGGATTATGTCTCATTACTGGTTTACATAGTTTCATTCTTTTTGAAGTGTTCAGAACTAGAATGGAGGTTGGATTTATTTCAAGTATAGTATGGAGCTGGCATTTTCTTGGATTGTGGGGCACAACATTGTGTACATTAGAAAAGTAATAAATTTTCACAGAATCACACAGAATCACAGAATCGCTCGGTTGGAAAAGACCTCTGAGATCATCACGTCCAACCGCTCCTGTCTACCCCCTAAACCGTATCCCTAAGTACCTCGTCTACCCGCTCTTTAAATACATCCGGGGATGGTGACTCCACCACCTCCCTGGGCAGCCTGTTCCAGCTTCTGATGACCCTCTCAGTAAAGAACTTCCTCCTTATCTCTAACCTGAACCTCCCTTGGCACAGCTTGGTACCATTTCCCCTTGTTCTATCCTCCAATGGAGGATTTTTTCATTCAGTTTACTGGGGGCCCTTGTTCGTTGTTGCTTTTTTTTTTTATCCTCCCAGCCTGTCTCAAACAAATAATGGCATAAACAAACAGGGAGACCATCAGAAATATTTTAGTTATTGTGCATGTTCAAGTTTTGGAGTTTTTTTTATGCTTCCAATGAATAGAGTGGAAGACCTCCTGCAATCAGCCAAGTGTTAAATAGGCTTTTTTATATTATAAAATCTTGCCTGTGCAAACACATTATTAAATTTGCAAAGCATTTTATTTTAAGTAGACTTCAGCAACTGAACTTGACAATCTGTTTGGAAAGAAAAGTTAAATTATTTAAAATATGTTTGGATTGTACATGTAGATGGCTACTTCTGGACACAGTGTCTGCCAGATATTTAATTTTAGTTAATGACAGCAGTGTTCCTTGTTCTGTGTTGAATTTTAAAATGTCATTTTGTTGCTAGGATGCTGGAGGAAGTCATCACAAAGTCTCCGTTTCTCCTGTCGTCCATGTCCGAGGGCTGTGTGAATCGGTTGTGGAAGCAGATCTTGTGGAAGCTCTTGAAAAGTTTGGAACAATATGGTACGTCAAGCAGTATAAAGTCATGTCTCTGGACACGTTGGGAGCATTATTTAAAAGTCTTCTTTATTTAAAGTTCTCATTATTTAAAAGGACCTCTTTAAATACATCATGATAGCCATTTGAAATCCAGAACTTAGTACAAACTGTAGCTAAACTGAATTGCAGAACAGCACAAGGGTGGTTGTCTTGGTATAAGTGAATATACCAAAAAGAAGGATGGGACACAGAGCAGATGGTGCTTTTTCCTATGGTTTCATATGGGAGAAGTGCTTGAGATACGGATATAGGACCTTCAGAATGAGATGATTATTCAGAGGAAGCCCCTTCAAAGGTCACATAGCCTAAAGATTCATCATCCGTGAACAAAATAGTAAAGGTGAATGGGTAGAGCCAGCTTATTTTGAGTTTTGAGTGCTTCTTTTTGAAAGCATTCATTTCTTTTCAAGTAAACACACTTATTGAAATGAAATAGAGTTTTGTAAATACAAATAATATTTTTCACTTCCTTAATATTCCAGTAATTGATGTACTTGTACCAGTATCTTAAAATAAATAAATAAAATGAAGTGAGCACAAGCTTTTTCAGAAATAACAAATAGGTATATTTTAGCCTGTTAGTTTTACTCTTCTGGAGCTTAATCATCTGACCGAGCTTCTTGAGTCTGAATTTGGTTAACTAGAATACTTCTGTTTACGTCTTCTGAGGTAATTTTTTGTCAAAAATAGTATTTAAAATATCTTGGCAGCAGCAAAGATCTTTAAAGTGTCAGCTTTGAATGTGTTTTATAATTTGTATTTGATTCTTTACCTCAAATGGCTTTAGCAAGTTTATTAAAATAAAATATTACCATTTTATTAAAATATATTTGTAGTTCTCATAAGTTAGTAAGTGATTAACTTTGTTGTATTGGTTGAATATTTTTACGCATTAAATATTTACAGGAAAACAACTGCTTATTACTTACTTATAGCTGCATTTCTTCGTTTTGTGCAGATGCTTTAGAAATGTTCTGACCACGTTTAGGAAGCACGAGCAGGGAGACCTACCTTCCTTTTATGTCCTTGTTAGGAATTGTTTGTAAAACATACCATGTATTACAGTTACGGGACTTTGGAGTTGTTTGGAGTGACCATATGAGAAAGCTCACTGTCATGCTTGTCTCACCAGCTATGTCATGATGATGCCATTTAAGCGCCAGGCTCTGGTGGAGTTTGAAAATGTAGAAAGTGCAAAGAAATGTGTAACGTTTGCAGCGGATGAAGCTGTATACATTGCTGGACAGCAAGCCTTTTTCAACTACTCCACGAGTAAGAGGATTACTCGGCCAGGAAACACCGATGACCCATCTGGTGGGAATAAAGTTCTCCTGTTGTCAATTCAGAATCCTCTCTACCCAATTACAGTGGTATGTTTCTTCTTCTTTTTTTTTTTTTTAAATAAAAGTCAGGGAGCAGCAACCTCTGTTACATTACTTCCACTGTGTACTATTTGTTAAAATTGTATACTGTTAATTGGAGTCAGGAATTAACTTCACCTACCAAAGCTTTACACCATCTTCACATAAGTAACGTGCATGTTGTGGAAAAAAAGGTTTTTTGAGATTATTCAGTCTCTTTGTACAGATATTTTGCAATGCATTTGAAGACTTCAGTGGTCAGGATTTTGAAATAAACGTTTAAGTTGCTACATGCTTCTGAAATATTTCCAAATGTGTTGCCACGACATCAGGAACGTCATTTACCGTTTATGCTCTGAGTGGTGTATGTTTAAATAGTGAGTAATTTTTCCACTAGGAGAGGTTATTTTATTGCAGTCCTTCATTCTTAAGTATTTCCTTTGTGGAAAGTTGAAACCTTCATCTGTTAATGATCAACTCCAGTTTGATGGAATCTTCCTCACTTTTATTTGGGTCGATACTTGTTACTTTTCAGTATTTCAAGTCATACAATATATACAGTTGCATCCTAATTTACTACCATCTATTTATGGCACACGTGCCTGGTTTTTTAATGATACAGATGTTTTTGCTAGTAGTGAAGAATGCTTGTTTTCTTGTGCATGGAATGCTTGTACTTTTTGTAGGGATTTTATAGTATGCTTTGAATTGCACAGAAATATTTCAGGAAAAATTTTAAAAGTCTGCTTTAAGCATACTTATAATACTGTGAAATAAGCATAAGTTACTTGTTCTTAGGGAAATATATAGGATAGTATGGATCAATTAAACTGTTTGGGTTGTGTGGAACAATGTAACTTAATGCAAGTATTGTTTCATGTGCCATATATTATGTTAGCAAATTGATTGAAAATTAGTATTCCTGAAATTACTTGTCGTGGTTTAGACTGTTGTTCTATCACCCACCTCCCCACCCGTGAAGGGGAATCAGGAAAAGGAAAAGAGACCCATGGGTTGAAATAGAAACAGAATTAGTAAAATAATGAAAATAAACTCTAGCATTAAGAACAGTATTAATATAATGTACACAGAGTTATACCTATCTGATATAGGGGAGGACTAGGCCTCGGGAGTAGGAGGGTAGAGAAGGCCCTCTTTTGGGTGGCAGCCACTGAAGAAGGAGGGCCGTCCCCAGGAAACTCACCAGTTTATAGTGAGCGTGATGTTCATGGTATGGAGTAATTTTCATTGGTGCCTCAGCTTGGGGTCAACTCCCCTGGGTTTCTGCTTCCCCCAGCCTCTGCACCTGCTTATCTCAAGACCAATAAAGGCCTTGATTGTCACATACCAGTGCTGGCTGAAAAGTAAAGCAAAGCGTCTTATCACTCTCTTCCCATGAGCCAGAGTACTGTAGTCCTTACAGAATCGATGCTTTCCTGAATTAAAAAAAACAGATTTTGTCCTTCTATCCCAGTACACCAGGACGTTACTTCAAGCTTATAAAGCTTTTTGCTTCACTGTATTGTGAATATTGGTAGGTTTTTACCTGTTGATTCATTAATTTTCTTTCTCCTGTCAGTTTTCTTAATAGAAAAGCATGGCAAAGTATGAGTTGCTTTTCCATCAGCATTTAAAAATATGCCTGCTTTCAGCTGTGTGAACAAATCCACTGACTAAGTTAAAATATTCTTTACATGAGAATATAATACAAATTTTAGAAACTGTGTATCATTCATGCATTTTAAATTTGGCTTGCATAAGCAGCTGAGTTGAATGTAGGTGCTTGAGGAAACTGGTGGCAAAAGCATCCTTCTGGGCTAGGAAATTTTCATGGCAATCCTGAGGATGAAGCCTTTAGCACAGTAGCTCCTACTTGAAAACAGACACCACCTCTCTCTCCCCACCTCTTCCTTCCACTGCCCCCAACTGTTTGCCTAGAGTAGAAGCAGACAGATTTCCAAAATTACTTGCAAGCATCAGAGCTCATTGAAGATACTGTAGACTAGTGGAGTCGTAGCAGCTGGGAAGAGCAGTTGTACCCATAACAGCTAGAAATGTGATGAGAAAAATAAAAATTTTGTACTGTACTTGGCCAGTGGGATAAGGAAACAGTTCACTTGAGAATGGCTGAGGCAAAGCTTGCATTATTAAAAAAACCCAAACCCCAAATAAAAAAAACCCAACAAAACAGACGCCCGCAAATCCCCAAAGAGCACAAAGCCCAACACCACCTCTTCCTCTTCAATACTTTTTTCTCCTTAAATTTGAACTACAGTTAGATAAAATAGTTGAAAAATTGCAACTAGTTTTAAGTGGCAAGTCTGAATAATTGCAAGAAACTATTCCATAGGTCTTAAGAGCTTTTATTTCAAAACAAAAGACTATTTTTTTTTTCAGATAAATTAGTCTGCTCAAGGGCATCTTGTGGAAGAAGCTAAATAGTTCTGAAAGTTTAGCTGCAGCTCATTTCCTCCATTACAGTTGTTACCTCCTGCTTTCCTAGCAGGATTCTTCCCGAGGGATGTGGCAGTGAAGGGCAAGAAGGGCAAGTTAACTGTACTTCATTCCTAATTGCTTTCCAGCCCTTTGTGTTTAGGGGTTGGTGTTTTGAAACAGTTTTGCCTAAGGTATCATATATAGGTCTTTGAAGTTCTGTTTCCCACTTTCCTTATCTATGGGCAGAACTTTGTCAGGGATTTGTCTGTAAGAAGAGACAAATTGTTCAAACAGACCTTCTCAAAGTGACCCCTGGTGCTGCAGTCATTTCTGTCTGTTCAGCTATACCTCTGCTCTTGCTCCTTAGTTCTCACCTTCTAAACCTTCTGTACATTCATGAGGAAGGTGTGGTATGCCTTGGCAACTGAACTGTTTGATCCTTAACTGTCAGCTTCTGAGATTAGGTTGCTGCACTTGCTTTTTTTACAATGGTATGCATATAATGCAAGTGTTAATTTGTTATTTAAAATGTCGCACATTACTATATCTTGTGAATCACTTGATTGATTTGGTAATCTGAAGGAGCTGAATTAAAAAATAAAAATCAAGCTGTGTCTGTACCTGCTGGTTAACAACACCAATGACATTTTGAGTAGAGCTTACATTTTGCAAGACAACTTTTTAAAATAAATGCCTGTGAAGAAATCTTTTGAGAGACAAATTATGAAAGAAAGTCACATGCCAGAAAATGAATGTTATCTGGAGCTGGAAAGTTTTCAGGACTTTTATCCCAAAAAAGAGGAGATGGAGGGCAGTTTTTTGTTCTATTGAGTGTGCATAAAAACTATACCTATAAGTGATCACATAAATCTTCTTTTTTAGGAGTTCAGGCTGCTTGAATCCTTTCTAAAAATGTCCATCTTCTGAAAATCATAAGGTTGACAATCTCCTCTGCTTGCTTCATTAGCTATGCAAAGCACTCACTGGAGTGTCTGGAGCAAGGCCCCTGAGCATGAACAATTTTTTGTTGTGTTGTGGGTTTTTTTTTGTATTGGTTTGGTTTGGGGTTTTTTAGTGGTAATATGTCCATATATTAAAGCTCATGGTACTTTATATAAGCCAGGAGTTACAGCACTGCAGCTGCAGCCAACAATAAGACATCTTCTTTTTCTGGTTTCTTGTTATGTTGGGGGGTATGTGGGAGTGTGTTTGTTTTCTTTTTAAGAAATCCAGCATGCCCTCCACCTCTTTGCCTCCTAATTGCTCTGCTGTTCTGCAGAACATGATAATAAATACTATACCTACTTGCTTTCCCCTTTCTCCCTTTTGTTCCCCCAATAGACCTGAAGATGTACACCAAGATCTTGAAGTGAGCATTTTGAAAGTATTTTGTTTAGATATAAGGAAAGGAAGAGAAAAATAGATTGAATATTTCACCAAGATGTCAGTGCCTTTGTTTGCTAGGTTCGTCTGTGGAACTGGCTGTCTGGTAAAACTGACGTGCTTACAGCTGTTTGAACATGGTCTGACAGGTGACTTGTTTCAAGGAATTACAGTTCCTGTTTGTTCAGTTCACCAAGGCCGAGTCTTGAGAATTCTGAGTGTGGGTGTGTAATCACTCTAAAATGCACTTGTTTCTGTTGGCCAAATTCATGCTGGAGACTAGTTTCTGGTACCATGGTGTCTGAATATGTGTATCTGTTGTTTGAGACACTCCTAGCACCACATCATGAGCCTGGCCTGATGTGCAGTAAGGCGAGCTTGTTCCCCTGCAGCACTGAAGATGGTCTTGAATTCTATTGGTTCCTTGTAATATAGACAGATGCTGGTGAAAGCAGAGCGTTAGCAATGAATTTGCATGAATCCAGTGTTTCCTGTGGGAAGTTTTATCTGCCTTAGGTGGAGAGCACAGCAACCACTTGCAGTGTCTTTGATTCAGGTGAACACGATATAAATTCTCCTTTTGATAAGCTACCTAAGCTCACATCATGGACTAGCCCTGGTTATTCTTCTGAAAGTGAATATGAACAATTAAAAAAGCCCTCAACTGCTAGAGTCTTAGGAAATGAAATGAGCTAAAACTGCAGTGTCACTTTGTCTCTTCTTTGCTTTGGTTAAACTACTGCAGCGCGTGCTTAAAAGGGAGCACAACTTCAGACATGGATGCAATTACTGGGTTTTAACACAGGGGAAGGTACTTCTTAAATGAATCACAGAATCACAGAACGTTAG